TGACCTGATGTTCCCGATGCCATCTTTCAAACTTCAGGCCAATAGTTTGACGTTCGACACAGTTCAAATATGACATGTTTCATAAGGTGAATGTTGTTATACTTATACGTGATTTTGTGTACAACAAATTCACAATGGTATTGAGGAACAAGCAACAGAGAAGCAGCAAATAGAAAGTTATATATCGTGATATTTGAGTCTTTATCTTATTTGGAACTTGGCATAAATAAGGAGAAGTGATATATTTTGCCTATTCAGTCTATAAAAAATCACAAGATCGAGTATTGATAAAACAATACAGCAAGTTTACCCCTGGGAACCATATGTTTTGCTACTCTAAAAGAAGAAGAGCGTGTATAAGAAAGAAGTGGCCATGCATCACTAGGTCATTTTTGTGGCTAGGTTTGCAATATTCTTAAATTGTGATTAAATTTTAAATACATGCTACAAAAACGGAAACCCGATGTCATCTGTTTTATATTTTTATTTAACTTTTAATAACATACTTTTATATGAATGGAATGATATGTTAATTCACATGCTATATATTTACTATTTAGCCAAGGTGATTTTTCCTCTTTATTTTCCACCAATTAAATGTTGTCATATAAAATTTGGAGGTGGAATCAGAATTTCAACTTTATGAGTTTGTGATTCTAGAATAATTATTTCAAGTACTAATAACTGAATTTTAAATTTAATATTTGTTTATATTTAATAAATTTTTTAATATAAATATATTATTCGTATAAAATTATTGGGTTCGATCGAATTCGTAACGGAGCTTGTAGGTCGGCGCGTACGTGAACTGAAATGGAAGTAATGACTTGTAGAATATGAAACATGGATTCAACTCATCCTTATCCACAAAGGAAGAGAAGGGATATAGTGCATCCGTTTTTCTGTTAACTGCCCAAACTCTCTAAATCACAAGTCTTACGTGCCACCACGTTGCTCGTGGAGGAACCCCTCCAATCAAAACTATCGAACCCCACAAAAAAAAAAAAAAAAAAAAAAAAAAAAAAAAAAAAAAAAAAACTTTGACAACGTAATAAGCGAAAAAGTCAGATTCAAAATAGAATTTCAAAAAGAATTACACTACTTGTAAGAAAAGCCAGTGTGGGGTTTCGAATCATCAAAGATAGTAATATAAAGGATATAATTCCTTTCTCCTCAATCAAAGATTTCAGATTTGAATCGTAAAAATAAAAAAGATTCTGACAAAATTTCTTTTCTTCTTTATTGGATTTTACATAGATGTGAATTAGAGTTAAGTGGATCCTAAAACGAATAACAAACACAAGGCTGATAAATACAGAATTTGGATTAATATTACTGACTTTGACTGAACATATAATCGAAAATCTAATTTTACCCCTATATTTGACTATTAAGGATTGTAATGGTGTGGATAGAATCGCTTTATCCTTAATTAAGATTTTAGGAAAGGAAATATTTAACACTTCTCTTTTAATAAATATTATGACACTAATTCGAATTAATCAGAATCTATCGTGAATATTCTAAACCCCGTTTGGACATAAAATTTGATGGAAGTTTTTTCTAAAATAAATTCACTTTTTTCGAAATCAGCATTTATTCAGAAAATTTTTAATTTTTACTTGAAGATATATTTTGGAAATTTTCGAAAATTTAAAAAATTTAGAAAAGCTGTTTTTCAAAATTTTCACTCAAATCACTCACAAAAATTCAAAAACAACCCAAATTGAAATTTATGTCCAAACACAACTTTAAATTTCAAGTACCATTTTCACTTGAAAATTTTTTTACCATTTTTTCGAATTTTACAATTCATATGTCCAAACGCCTACTAAATTTCAAATGGAAAACAAAAAAATAAACTAGCTACTCCCTCCGTTCCAGTTTATATGAATCTATTTCTTTTTTTGTCCGTTTTAATTTTCAAAAAGAATGATCCCTTTCTAAATTTAGAAATAATTTAGCTTAAACTTTCAATTCTATCCTTAATGAGAAACTTTTATAACCACATAAATACTATGGAACCTTTTTTGATTTTTTTAAGATCACAAATTTAAAAAATATTTATTTTTTAATAAATTTCGTACTTAGTCAAATAAGTTTACATAAATTGAAACGGAAGGTGTAGTTGTTAGAAAAGCCAGTGAGGGCCCTACAGTTATCCACTTGTAATAACCCATTAACTAGCCAGCGAAGTCCTGTCGGCAAGGGAGTGTAACTGTCCACGTGTCATCTAGATAATTGAAGATTAGCATCAGCTGGCTTAGTCACTGTTGGTAACGTTAACAAGTTTCACTATCTTCCAAACTCTGATTTTTGTCGTCAGTCCCACACTTTGCTAACGCTGAATGCTGATTCGTCTTGTCACGACTGAGAAAAAATAATGAGATATTATATTTATGAAATATTAAACAAACTTAATTTACACGATTATAAAAATTATATGTTTGATGAAATACATTATAGTAGTAAAAGATAGCGGCGATGCTAATTGACGATGGAGGTGGTTGTTGGCAACAGTAGTAATGGTTAATTACGCGGTGATAATGGACAAAGTGTGTTGCCTGAAATTTTACGTGAATTACATCTTAACGAAATCCTATTTTATAAAACTAAATAAACATGTTCTATTCTGATCTGATATGTGGTTGAAACTGAAAAAAAGTAAATACATTTAATAATTTATTGAAAATTTAATTATTCAGATTCAGATCTCCAGTGAAAATATTTTAATATATTGCATGAAATTTTAAATAATTTATGTCTTAATAATTTAATCCTCGATACAACATTAATTAAATCTGTTCTATTCTGAACTGATAAGTGATTGAAGATGAAAAACCAAATACATTTAATGACTTATTAAAATTTAAATTATTCCAATTCAGATCCTCGTTAGGTGAAAATATAGGACGCCTTATGATCTTTTCATTATCTAAAAGGTTAATTGTTCTAAAATCTAAAGAGAATCCAAAAATAAAATAATATAGTCAAATTTTGAATCCATTTAATTTTTTTAATGAATATTTCTGTTTTTTCACACACCTTTAATCACATCAACAATTTAAATAATGGAGGTATACGTGGAACTTTATAATCCACACTTATGCTAACAAAAGCAAAAGATGTTGAAGAGACAAAAGCTATATACTAGTGGTAATTACTAAAATAAAACATTAAACTATTACTACAATCATTTTCCTCCCCTTCCCCACCAACTAATTATCATATTTAGAATCATTTTGGCCGTCTTTTTCCCTTTCTTTTTAAGTTTCAATATTCAGTTAATCAAAAAAAAAAAAAAATTGTACGCTGTATAATCAGATGCTTATATCAAAATAGATTATCTACGTGATATTTTCTTACAATGCGATCCTTTTTCGAACACAGAATACTTTATATACCAAATTGTCTTTTTTTTTTCCAACACTAGGATGCATTTTGATTTGGTGGAAAATATTTTACTTGATGAATTCATATTCCATAGGTAGCTTAAAATGCTGAAAACATTTACTTTAGAAGGAAAAAAAAAAAAGCAATCACAATTTACAGCTAGGGTAATTTAGTCATTTTAGACAGGCAAAAACAACACTTTCCTTTTACTTTGTCAAAAATCTGCCACCTATACTTTGCTTCACTATCACCTCTCTCTCTCCTTTCAATTTTCTTCAACTTCCCTTCACCTCTTTCCTCTTTCTGCATTAAGGAAATCGACAGAGAGAGTTGGATAAAGAAAAACAACACATAACACACACATTATTCCCACGTAATCTCAATTCTCACACACTGAAACATCTTTTAACAATATAAAACCCCACATTTCACAAGTTCCAATCATGAAGTAGCTAGATATTTTCTTTATCTACGTAAAAAGCAAAAATCATAGTTTCAAAACTACTCCATTTTCCCTTCTAACGGTTACTTTATTTCCCAGCCTTCAATGCTCTTTAACAAATAGCCCTCTTCACCTTCTTGAAAACTGAAAAAAAACACCCAAAACCAAAAAGCATATTATGAAGCATTAATACAAACCAAAATCACACTAAAGATTGTATTTTGAGCAGACCCCAGAACCAAAAACACACAAAAGATTGCATTTTGAGAGCCAAAACAGAGGAAAAAATTGCATTTTGAGAGCCAAAACAGAGAAAAGGTTGCATTTTGAGAACCAAAACAGAGTAAAGATTACATTTTGAGAGCCAAAACAGTTAAAAGATTGAATATTTAGAAGACCCCAGATGGATTTTCCATCATTCTTGACATCTTTAGGAACTTCCTTTATAATATTTGTGGTTTTGATGCTGTTATTCACATGGCTTTCAAGAAAACCAGGGAATGCTGAGGTGTACTATCCAAATCGGATCCTTAAAGGTATGAACCCGATTGAAGGCGGGTACATGACCCGCAACCCATTTTCTTGGATCCGAGAAGCTATGTCCTCATCTGAAACTGATATCATCAACATGTCTGGAGTTGATACTGCTGTCTACTTTGTTTTCCTTGGCACTGGTAAATGATTAAATTTCCCTTCTTTTTAAATTCTGTTTTATGTTAAATTTTGAGGGATTTAAGTTTTATGTACTAACGTAAATAATTTTTACACACCATCAGTATGATTTGACCTGTTATAGTAGGGTATTTATCATTTTATTTAGGTTACCGAGTAATGCTTATTATATATAGTTATTTTACATTGTCCGTGCATAGAGCTTAAGCTCAATTTTGAGAAATATTATTGTTATTTAAAGTGGATGTTTATGTATTTTTACATTTTCACAGGCTTATTTTGGTAAATTTTTGGTTTGGTACTTTTAGATTTTGGTTAGTTTTGTGGGGTAGAGAGTTTGGTAGGAAGCATAATGTGGAATTCAAGTGGTTTGCTCTCAAAGTAAACTAATTCAACCAGTTTTCTAGGATCTACTTTACTTACAAAGAAGGGATTTTGGTGGTAAGTACAAAAAAAAAAAAAAAAAAAAAAAAAAAAAAAATTTGGAGAAGGATTTAACTTACATACACACACTGTAACTGCAAAGAATTTTTATATATAGTAAGTTGTCGGCCTTATTTTATTGGTAACCAGTTTCACTTCTTATAAGCAGGCAGTTATTCGTCATCTCATTTAGATGACTTAATAGTTTACGTTAGTTGAAGTCTAAAAAGAAAGTGGATAACTTCACTAAGTAAATTACTTGTAGTCGTTCTAATAATATTGATGCATTTTCGATTTGTTACTATCCCCTGTTTTATTTTCTCCTTTTTTTTGGAAATAATTTCTATTTTCTAATTTATTGTTGTTATCTAGTATCTACTGGCATGTTTTCTGTTGAGGGAAATACTTATTGGTTCCAAAAAGTGTATTATTCAAATCCATTGTTGGTCTCAATGATAAATTAGTTCACTAACCCCTTAGTCCTTTCTATAACTACCAAGTATATCCTTTACTTTTGCGAAGAGTAGAGGTAGTTGGGGTGAAAAACAAGAAAATTTGAGCTGTTTGCATTTGGTTTTGGTTCAAATTTCAAGCAAGTTAAAATTCTTTTTTTTGGATACGGAGGATCTCATATAATGGATCCCAACTAGTTTAGAATTGTGTTCGTCTACCTAAGTATAGTACTAGTCGTAGTAGTTGATATTATTTGTATACTTTCTAACATATTCCCAGTTCAAAAAAAAAAAAAATCTTAGAATTGTGGCATTTGTTGTTGTAGTACAAGCAGCTGTAACCATCTAAGTTGCTCGGACTCAGGTGCGGGTTTCCGATACTGGGACAGACCCGAGTATCGGATTCGGCAAAATCTAAATTTTAAGATTCGGGGGTGCGGATCCAGATATGGATACGGGTACGGGATTCGGCTAATAAAAAGTAGAGCTATAAAAATATTGTTAATTTTGAGAGATATTCTGTGAAAAACTTACATATTGTACAATTCAATCTTTTATTCTCCAAGATGGACATTATTAAAGTTGTTTTATTTTTGATTTTGAGAAATCAAAATTTCAATTTTTCTCCCGAATTTGTCGATGGACTCCGGTCAAAGTGTCCGAAGTCAGTTGACCGAATCCGGGATGTATCCCGTATCTGGATGGGGACGGCACCAAAATCGAAGAGTCGATGCAACTTAGGTAACCATTAACTTATGAAATGTACCGTTTTCAGAAGTCATTAGTGTAGCCAAGTTGTTGAAACCTCAAATGTGAGGGTTCATTTGCATTAGTGTTTTTTATGCTAAACTCAGCATGATAGTGTAAATTATTTTATAACACCATTTATTTTTTCAGCCTTGGGAATATTTGTCTTCTCCGGCATTATACTGCTGCCTGTACTTCTACCAGTTGCTTCAACTGATCATAGTATCAAGGCGGCCAATACCACCAGCAAGGGGACTTTCAATGAACTTGATAGGTTATCTATGGGACAAGTCGGCGTAAGTTCTTTTGACCTTTCCTTAGCCTTATCCATAGATATATTTAAACCACGACTGTCTTATGGTTTTAACTTAGCCTAATTTGATATTGCAGCGCTATTTAGACTGCAGGGTCTATTTTATGGCCATTATGTCCAATTTAACAAAACTTGCTATGTTTAACCAAACTTCTTTGTTTTATTGTCGCTCGATGAATTCTAATATTTCCTTATATTCTCATTGCTGTTGCAGAATTCAGGCCCGCGGTTGTGGGCATTTATAGTTGCAACATATTGGGTTTCTGTTGTTACTTACTACCTTTTATGGAAAGCATACAAACATGTTTCAGAATTGAGAGCTAAAGCTCTTATGTCTCCAGAAATCAGAGCCGATCAATTTGTTATTCTTGTCAGGGATATTCCTCCTGCTGCTGTTGGTCAAAGTAAAAAAGAGCAGATAGATTCATTCTTTAGAGCAATCTACCCCGACACATTTTATCGGTCAATGGTGGTGACGAACAATAAGGAGGTAAACAAAATTTATGAAGAGTTGGAAGGGTACAAAAAGAAGCTTGCACGTGCTGAAGCTATCTATGAGGAGTCGAAGAAAACTAATCCTGATGCACTAAAACCCTCGCATAAAACTGGTTTCCTTGGTATTGTTGGTGAAAAGGTAGATTCAATTGAATTCTACAATGATAAGATTAAGGAGTTGATCCAACAGTTGGAAGTTGAACAAAAGTTGACTCTCAAAGAGAAACAGCAATCTTCTGCGCTCGTCTTTTTCAACAAAAGGGTGGCTGCAGCTTCTGCATCACAGAATTTACACGCCCCTATAGTTGACAGGTGGACCGTTATAGACGCCCCAGAACCACGGCAGTTGATTTGGACTAATCTTCCAAAAACGTTTTATGAGAGAATAATCCGGCAGTATGTTGTGTACGTTGTTGTGTTCCTGACCATATTCTTTTACATGATTCCGATTGGATTCATCTCTGCATTAACAACTCTAGACAATCTGGTGAAGCTTCTCCCGTTTTTGAAACCGGTAGTTAATCAGAAGGCAATCAAAACAGTGCTAGAAGCATATTTGCCTCAACTTGCACTCATCATATTTTTGGCTTTGTTGCCAAAGTTTCTTATGTTTCTATCCAAAGCAGAGGGCATCCCTTCAGAAAGCCATGTGACAAGAGCTGCTTCAGGGAAATATTTTTATTTCTCAGTGCTTAATGTATTTATTGGTGTTACTCTCGGTGGAACTCTATTCAGTTCCTTCAAGAGCATTGAGAACGATCCCAACTCTATTTTTCGTGTATTGGCAGAAAGCCTTCCACAGAATGCAACTTTCTTCTTGACCTTTGTCGCTTTGAAGTAAGTCTATAGCATGCTTTCCCTTTTATTTTCGCAGCTACTCTTTTATCCTTTTTTTGTAACAGTATGCTGTCATGAGTTGTCGCCGATATGTCTTCTGATCTTTGATGAAAACCTTACTCTGAATAGTATTTTCTTTGTTGAGGTTGAGTCATTATTTTTATTAAGCGTGTGCTTCTGTGGTGTTAAAGCTCGGTTCAGAATGGTATAGCTAGTGAAGAGAATGTTAATTCTCCTTTTAATCTCAATAATGGTTTGTTGAAGTTTATTCTCTTTGCACAATTCAAGGTGTTTTATGGTCCTGAATCTTAATTTTTTGGCTGGTAGTTTCCATTCTGCTTCTCCATTTGATATAATTTGTTGATCGCAGGTTCTTTGTCGGCTATGGGCTGGAGCTGTCCAGAATAGTTCCTCTAATCATATTCCATCTCAAGAAGAAGTATCTGTGCAAAATTGAAGCTGAGATAAAAGAGGCTTGGGCTCCTGGCGATCTAGGCTATGCAACTCGATTTCCCAGTGATATGCTGATTATGACGATTGTCCTATGCTATTCCGTCATAGCTCCCATAATTTTACCGTTTGGAGTGGTTTACTTCGGTCTTGGCTGGCTTCTACTACGGAATCAGGTGAATAACCTATGTTTCATTTATATCTCACTTTCTTTTTTAGTTTTAGTTTATTCCGGAAAGAATAATGCTTTTTCATATTTACATGTTTAAGACCACACGTTTTAAGGGTACTTTTGGTACGTAAAACTCTGTACTGAATCAAATACCTTGATATAAAATGAAACAGACAGAGTAGTTGTTCTGGTGTCTAATGTTTATACTGATCTAAGCTTTAATTCCAAATTAGTAGGTTGATTATATGAATCATCTATACCCAAAATGGATATACAGATATACAAGTTTCACATGTACTCTTATATAGATGTACAAGTCGTTAAACCAAAATAAAAAAACTACTCTTAAATACAGGTAGTTCCTTGTTATTACATGGTGTCATTCTTACCGGTAGGGGTGTACATAGGTCGGGTTGGTTCGGATTTTGCAATTACCAAACCAAATCAATTGTATCGGGTTTTTAAATCTATAGACCAAACCAAATCAATTGTATCGGGTTTTTTCCGATAAACTTGTGCTCCAAATATTTCTATAGCCCTAAATACAATTTTACCAATAACAACCATGTTTTTATTTTTTAGCATTGACCTCAACTATGCTAGTCAATAGGTTGTATGGTTCCACTTTATAAAGGTCTCTACTTTATAAATTATTTTTCACTTTACACTAAAATGCTAATAAAAGCTTAAAGCAATTGACATGTCTAACTTCAATTGAACCTTAGATAAATAATTAGAAAGAGCAGGTTAGAGTATCATGGACAAATCAATTGCTTTAAGTATTGTAAAAAGTCTAATTTCTTCAACTATCAAATCAACTGAACCTTAAAGAAACAATGTAATACAAAAGCTTCTTAATCGATTAAAAACCATGCACCAACTTTCTTTTAATTAATTACCTTAAAATAGTAAAGATTTCAAAAATAATCATGAAGCAAATTGTAGTTAACTATCCCTCTAATCAATCCTCAAAGGTGAGTATGCATATTCCGAAAGAAAAGAAATAATTAACATATTTAATATTAAATAATATAAAAAAATAACTATACTCATTAACAATTGAATATAAATTATTACCTTCTTCAACTTGCTCAATTTTCTAGACTTCCTCTAACATGTCTTCAAACTTATATTCCTTGGAAATACATCAATGTAAGAAATAATGTAGGAAATACATCACTTTTAATTTTACATAATCCATATTATTTAACCAAATGATTTAAAATATAAGTAAAAAAAGTTTCAATATCTTTTTAAGTAACAGTCAATTACTCATGTTAATCATCTAAGAAAAACAAAATAAACAAATGAATTCAATAATAAGGAGGAATACAACAGATTTGCAAAACAACTCGCTAATCGGAAAACGAAAAATCTTAGTTAATTGGGAAAAAGCAAGGCGTATGCATGCCGCTAAAAGAAAACATGTAAAATGAGAAAGGAAAGAGCTGTACCGATGAGAGCAAAAGAGAGTTGATAGGGTTTGAGCTAATTGGGGGGTTTTGGAATGGAACGAAAGGGTTTCTTGCCTTTGGAGAAGAGACAAAATGATTTCAATTGTTTAAGTGTTTTAGAACAGCTTTAGGACTAATCTAGTTTTGCTTTAGGACTAATCTAGTTTTGCTTTGGGCTCAATTATTCTTTTATGGGCCAGACAAAAACAAACATTTACATGGGCTATAAAACCAATTTAAAATATTATGCTAAATACAAAAATTATAAAAAAAATTAAGAAATATTTTTATACATTCTAATAAATATTTTTATCTATCTAATATATAAAATATGTATACATGTAATGTCGGGTTGGTTTGGTTTCGGTTTGACTCTTTTTAGTTAATACCAAACCAACCCTATTATGGTCGGGTTTTATTTTTCAATACCAAACCAAGTCAAACCAAACCACTAGTCGGGTTTTTTTTCCGGGTTATCAGTTTGGTTTGTACACCCCTACTTACCGGTAGTATTGACACTATTCTTGTATTTTCGTGTTCCTAGATCTTTGTTATTACACGCTTTGCCATTTGCTTCTGTTGCCTATTACCTTGTTGTTGCTATTATTTGTTCATTGCTTCTTTTTCACCGTTCTTGAGCTGAGAGTCTATCACAAACAACCTCTATATCTTATAAAGGTAGGGGTAATGTCTGTGTACGAATTACCTTCCCCAAACCCCACTTGTGGAATTTACTGGATTGGTTGGTTGTTGTTACTCATAAATGCAGGATCGTATATAAGAGCATGGTGGTTTTTTAATCTCATTTATTCTCTCCTAAATTTGTCTTCAAACAGGCACTGAAAGTGTACGTTCCTTCATTCGAGAGCTACGGAAGAATGTGGCCCCATATTCACACGCGGATGTTAGCTACCTTGATTTTGTATCAAGTTACCATGTGCGGTTACTTTGGAGTTAAAAAGTTCGCGCCTACTCCAGTTTTGTTTCCACTTCCAATATTCTCCTTGATCTTCGCGTTCATTTGTCAGAAGAAATTCCGTCGGTTCTTTGTATCTCCAGCCCTCGAAGTCATTTCCCACGAACTAAAAGAAGTCCCGAACATGGATATTGTCTTCAGATCTTTTATTCCACCATGCTTGAGTGCAGGGAAGTCCGATGACCATCAGTTTGAGGACGCGTTATCTCATGTGTCTAAAACAGGTTCCTCTTCAGTATGATATGAACATTTGCAATTACCACGTCGTTTCATTTTGTTATAAATTGTAACTGGGGATAGTTCATTGGATAGTTGGTCTGTGTTGATAGTTTGTACTTAGGATTTTAGTTAGTTTTGCATTGTGTGTTGATACTTCATTGGATAGTTTGTTCTGTGTTCATAGTTTGTTTGCGATCTTTGTGAAATGAATTTCCGTTCGGAAAGTAAAGTTGTATTTTTCTGTAATGATATTAGCATGTCGTGCTTCAAGTTACAAGGAATTTGTTGAAACTAGTCAGTAGGATCGTTCAGTATATGTAATTACAATAACATACTCAGTGTAATTTCACGAGTGGGGTCTGGGAGCGTAGTGTACGCCAACATTACTCCTACCTTAAAGGCAGAGTTGATGTTTTCGATATCTTGAGAAGGCAGAATTATGTTTTCTATATCTTGAGAAGGCAGCGTTATTGTTTTCGATAGGCCTTTGGCTGAAAGAAATATGCAAAAAAGAAGCAGTAGCGTTCACAGTAAACTTGTAGCCGGTTTGGTCAAAGCTTCTCCAAGCCAAAGCTTTTTTTTAAAAGTTGGAATGCTTGGCCAATCTTTTAGAGGACAAAAAAAAAATACTTTTAAGTAGAAGTAAAAGTAATTTTGAAGAAGTAAAAAAAAATAGTTCTCTTTAAAAGTACTTTTTTGAAAAATATTTTTGAAAAAAATATATTTAAAAATAATTTTTAAAAATTTGATCAAACACTAATTGTTACTACAAAAAATAATTTTTGGAGCTTTGGCCAAGTAGGTTGTTGATTTCTGACTTGACTTTAACTTTGTCCTATGAGAAGTTGGACAACAAAAAGTTACTCTTGTCGTTACTCTTATTGTTATCATATCCGTCCTTAGTTTTCAACTCAGCATATGAAATGTTCGTTGGTATTTGAATTTAGGGGATATTTATTTCCAGGTATGTAATATGCTTTATCCGATTATACCAATCATTGATTATATTTGTTATGCAATATTGCTAATTTCTGAGACTTTTTGTTGCTAAGATTTTAAAATAAACTTTGTAGGAATAAATTCAAGATATGGCATGCACGTCTTAAGTAAAAATGTTCCTTCGCCAAAGAATGAGATGATTTTTTTTTATTTTTTATGAAGACGTTGTTATTCATACTCTACATGCACTACTATAGTATATGCAATATTTCACCACGCTTTGAAACGGGCACATATAAAAGTATAATTTATGAATAGGAACTTTAACAAAATTTGAAGTTCCTTTCTCTACTTATGATTTGGTGAAAGAAGTAGAAGACGATTTGTGCTCAGGAGTGGTAGAAAACACAATATACTCAGTGTCACGTCCTTAGTCTTAAATTAAATGTACGTGCACACTTGACAACTTGCTACATTTCTTGTTGACAACTTGCTACATTTCTTATTATGCCAAGTCAGTCTTATCACACTCAAGATCACTAAGGGAATGCTAGATAAGAAAGACAAGAGAATTTTGCCAAATGAAACTTTGAGTATTATAGAGAACTTGATTGATTTGTTTGATGAGTTACAAATGTATGACTTCCTTTATATACTAGTCTCCTAGGGACACATGTGTAAATAGTAATTGTTACACAAGTCCTTAATATTAACAAAATAAGGTTTTTCTTTAGAATTTTCTAAAAGACTAGAAGATCCCAAGGATTTTCCTAACAACTCCATAGGGATCTAGGGTCTTCCAAGAGAAATGTCTATATTTTTCTAGAACCTTCCCATAAGTGTTCGCTTCCTTCCTATGTGAGTTTTTCACATAGCAAAAATATGTGCCAAATGACACCTAGATGGCATGATAACGTGGCGGCTCATGACACTCTCCCCCACCTAATTTTGTAACGATAATAGGGAAATGCAGTTGCATTATCTCTCGGATTTTATCTTTGAATTTTCGTAAGTCTTCGTATCGTTACCATGTAGCTTCCTCTGGTGCTTGTCCCTTCTAATGGATGAGGAACATGGTGGTAGCTTTTTATCGATTTTTTCCTATGGATATCAATAATATCCTCAACCACTCGATCATGCGAGGCAGTGATAGGAATATGCATTCTGTCACGATCTCAAATTTTCACCTTACGATGTCGTGATGGTACCTAATCTCTAAGATTAGGTAAGCCAAAACAAACAAGATAATAACAAAATAAGTAACGACTAAAAGAAGATATAAACTGATAAGTCTCATAAGAATCTCAATACTGAACCACAATACAACATTTTCCAAAATTCGATGAGATTGAGTCATAAACTCTACAGAAATATATAACAATGTCTAATACAACACTATTTGAATAGAGGATAAACATTAATAAGAGAATGGCGGAAGGTGACTCTGAGGCCTGCGAATGTCAAGTAGGTATACCTTGAAGTCTCCGAAAATGACGGAATGATCACTGGCACGAACAGATGTACCTGGATCTGTACAAAAATATGCAGAAGCATAGTATGAGTACACCACAATGGTACCCAGAAAGTATCAAGTCTAACCTCGGTAGAGTAGTGACGAGGTCAGGTCAAGACACCTACTAGGACAAAATAAACTGAAAAGAGTATAATAAAGACCAATAACAGAGAATGATAACAGAACAATATAATAACGTAGGCTAACAACATAATTTAAGGCAAGAAAGGCAACGAGAAGTGAACACATAATGTGAATAACAAGTAATCAAATACGGGATAATACAAGTAAGAAAATGAAGAAAACAACAAGAACTGTTCAACCAATAAGCCTTTTTAATATAAGATGCACAATAAGAATCACAACCGAGGTACCGCCTCGTATTCACATTTCACAACTCAAATCACAATCTTTCCTTATGTCACTGCGTGAGCCTTGCATTTAGTTTTGAAAATTATTTTTCCGAAATAGCTACACGTTTTTTAGCCACTTATATCACCGCGTGCCTTCAAGTAATTCCCCTACTAGAAACACACGTATAAATCCCACCTTATCACATTGCATGCGTATCAACCCCTATTCTTATACCACCGCATACGTAACAACTCACGCCACATGTGCCCATATGCCACAACAATTTTCCAAAATCTCAACTAGACTAAATCAACCCTCGAAAATAACTTTTTCCCTAAAATTAGCCTCCACATAGCTCAAATATAACAAAAAGACTTAATAACATAAAACAATACAAGATAAACTAATTACAATAGATAAAGTTATGATTTTTACACATTTTCCAAAAATTCAACAAAAGTTAACTCCGGGCCCGTCCGGTCAAACCTGGGTCCAAGGATAGCTTGCGACTACCCATAACCCCATGAGTCCATAAATGTATTTTGCTCCCAAATCCGAGTCCAAATCGACTCTCAAAACCAAATTTTTTATTTTTTAAAACTTTGACAAAAATTCCCAAATTTTCTCTTTGATTCTCACAAATTTGATGTTAGATCTAAGTTATAATCATGAAATATAGTTGAAAATTGATTAGAATCACTTCCCAATGTTTGTAGATGAAAATACCCTCTCTAAATCGCCTCCTACTAAGTCTAGAGGGTTCTAAAATGAGAGAAATGATGTGAAATTCCGACTCCCAACACTTTTGTTTAGTTGGAGGTCTCGCAATTGAGACACTGGGTTCGCATTTGTGAACCCTCGCAATTGCGGAATAGAGATCGCAATTACGAACCCTGACGACATCCTTAGAAGGCGTAATTGCGACAAAGGCTTGGCAAAAGCGACCAAGTGGTCGCAAATACGACCCCAACCCAAGCATATGCTGACATCGTAGATGCAAAGGGGAAAGTCGCATTTGTGACATCTGACTATCTCTGCCCACTTCGCAATTGCAAGGCTGGTGCTCGCAATTGCGACATTAGAGCACCAACACACCAATAATCCTATTTCAGTTCAAAACCTTCCAAAACGCGTCCGAAACTCATCTGAGCCCTCGGGATTCCAAACCAAATATCCATACAAGTCTAAAAATATCATACGAACTCAGTCGTGTGATCAAAACACAAAAATAACACCTAAAACTACGAATCGGATATCAAAACGCATGAATTTTAAATAAAAGTTCAAGAACTTCTAGAATTGCAACCAAGCGTCTGGATCTTATTAAATCAACTCCAAATGACATCAAATTTTGTAAACAAGTTCTAAATAACATAAGGACCTATTCCAAGTCCCAAAATTAAATTTCAAACCCGATAGTCAAAAGTCAATCTACAGTCAAACTTCTAAACCTCAAATTACCAACTTTAGGCAAAACAACACAAATCAACCTACATAACTTAGAATTCGATTTCGGACATACGCCAAAGTCCAAAATTATGATACGGACCTATCGGAGCCATCAAAATGCCGTTCTGGTGTCATTTTCATAAAAGTCAAAGTTTGGTTAACACTTTCAATCTTAGCTTCTGAGCAATGAATCAAAGGGTCCAAATCAATCTAAAACCTTTCCGGAATGAAACTAACCAACTCCGCAAGTCATAAAATCATAATTATACATGCGTGAATCATCCAAAGAGAAAACGAGCGCAAATACAAAAAATGACCGATTGGGTCGTTACACGCTCGACTTGCTTGGCCCCTATCTGCAAATGTATAAATGATATTTCATAGAAAAGCAAGAAATAAACTTTCATGACTATTTCAACGGTGGAAGCTAAGTTTGTATCTTTTAAATACATAGTACAAGAAGTTGTTTGGCTAAAAATATTCTTTGAGCATTTGAGTATTACAAAGAATCCCCATAGTTCTAAGATTTTATATTGTGACAGTCAAGAGGCTATCACATATGTGAAAGGACCTTAAGTATTACAGCAAGAGATAGCACATTGATATTAAGTATAACTTCTTGAGAGACATCATGGCAAGTGGAGAAATAATATTAGAATACATACCAACGCAACAATAATAGTTGATCCTCTTACTAAATTACTATCTAAAAACATGTTAAGACTATATGTTTGCGGAGGATATGTCATATTTATGTATTTGTAAAATATTCTAATTAATATAGTGTACTCATCAATATATTATTGTTGAGATTATGCTGATATTCAATATGTATGTGATAATTTCCTTGTGACGTATATAAGTGCATCGTACAAATTGCGAGATCAGCTCTCTCACACAGGCAATCGCCTCTGACGCCGAAAAACGTGCAACGATGAGACCTATTGGAACCTTGATTTATGCAAGGCCATATATAATCTTAATACAATGGCCGGTCTTGACTAGAGCTCAAACTAAGG